ATGCGGGCTTGGTCTTTATGCCAATGAATCTGGAATGACATCTTGTTTTCAATGTGGGCTTGAAGATCAAAGAGAGCCCGGACCCAAGAAATGACGTGTTGCTGTCCGACTCATTTTGACAATACTGTGCAAAAGAAACACTCATGTCACGAAAGCTAGCACCAGCTAGCTGGAGTTGTCATTGCTTTAGCAAGTGAGGGGCTGGAATCCTCGGGATCGCCGCATCACGTGAAAACTTCATATGTAGGGGGGGGCCCCCCCCCCCCGTGGGTTCAACTCCCCCCTCGGACGCCTCTGGGACACCTCTCGGGCATCTCTTATGGCATCCACTTTGGCTTAACTCCTCCGGGATACGGTGCAACAGATTCAACAAGCTCACATGTTCATGACATCGACATCGATAGAAGAAACCAAACAAATCATGCAAGCAGCTTTGTTTTGCCTCTGGGACACCTCTTGGGCACCTCTTATGGCATCACTGGTTCAACTCCTCCGTGGAGGTTTTGGGATACGGTGCAACAGATTCAACAAGCTCACAGGTTCGTGAACACATCGGATGCATCGAACAGTGTGGCAAAGTCCAGCCACGCTTCCTTAATTGTCGGGGACTTCAATTCGAAGGTTGGCTGTGTCATTGCTGTTTGTGTGTCTTACATGTTCACAACGTTTTACCTCATGAGCATTTGCCTCACTCCGCTTGATGTCCCACCAGTCCGGATGCACCCCTGCTAGCTTTCGTCACCTACCCTCGGCCTCAAGTTAGATGTCATGACAGAAGAGAACAGAAGGTGTTTGGGCCCCTTTCATGGGGACCCTATTAACTGGGTCCAAACGCTACTAGGTTGGAGGCCTTTGCTAGTAGGTTGGAGGCCATTGCTCCTACCTTTTTTTTTTGTAAAGCTAAGCAACATGTGAGAAGAGTGAAGACCTAGGCTTTGGACAACGAGCCAGCTGGTGAACAACGAAACCTACATCCAAATCCAGGCGGGGTCCCGACGTGCTGCCATTGATGTCTCAAAGAAACTAAGAAATGCCAGGATTTGCCAAGGTTTGTGTGACTGAGCATCGAATTCGCCGGCTGTGCGAGTGTCAGGGAGCGTTTTCTGAGACCTCCTGCAGCTGTGTGCCTGGAACCTATCTTTGGAATGGTCGCTGCGAGGCAGGACATGTTTTCCTCAAGCGCCAAGTCCTCCAGTTTTGTCGTCCAGGAGTGCATTGATGGATCATACTGCCCTGGCTCCAACAACTTGTTGCTTGAGATGGGCTACTTCTCGACACCTGAGGCGGGGGAGGAAGTGCGCCACTTCGCTGTCAGTCAACAAGCTTGCTCGGAATGCATCGGATCCTCAACGGTCGACCGCATCGAATTCCACGTGCTTCCTGAAGGCGCCTGGCGAAGTCTTCAGGTGCTTTGAACAAGCAGGGCGATGCCCAGGCCACATGGTAAGGACGCTGCTACGGGCTCCTGGTATCGCTACTAGGAGCAAGGACGCTACGAACGGGGCCATACTAGGAACCAGAAGCGACTAGTAGCGTTCAGGCCATCGCTACTAGGGCACTTTGCATGTGCCAACATATGCACCTCCAGGCGGCCGCCCTGGGACTTGTGCCCCGGGTCGTGACAACCAGAGCATAGCCTGCGCTGCATGCCTTCCTGGTCTCCACACCACGGGAGACACCTGCGAAGTTTGCAGCGAAGGAAACTATGCCCCCTGGACTTTCGCGAAGGAATCTGATTTATTCTAGCGTCCTTGCTCCTGGTAGCGATGCCAGGAGCCCCTAGTAGCTTCTTGTTGCTACTAGTAGCGATGCCCTTTGCTCCTAGTAGCTTCTTAGGTGTCAGAGAAGACCGGTGAACTTTTAAGGTGTACGGTGTACAAGGATTACCTGTTGCTGTAGGTGCCGGAAGGGGTTGGATGCCCGAGCCCAAAAGTTGGCCTAGGCTATGCTTGCTTTGGTGGGTATTCTATGTGGAAGTGGCATTTCAGTCCTCTACGTTGTCCTTGTGTACGAAGGTCAGAAGAGCAGGCTGGGAGAGTCTATGACTGTAGCGGGTGCGTGCTCGAAGAAGTTCTTAAGTTGTGGTTTCATTTGTTCAACTATAGCAGGTAAGGTAAGATGTCCACGCTGCAATGTAGAAATTGTTAAACTATACAACTTATATCTGTAGAAAATCTGTAGATCATGTTCCAGTCTATCGACACGTGAGCCGATGGTTGACAGGCAGCCAGGTAGTCTCTTGATCGCGGCCTTAAGCATGGGGCAAATGGTCACGGTGGTGCAGCAGCTGACCGCCAGGAGCTTAAACTGTCCATCTCCGCCACGGAGAGTCATGGCAATGGCCTCCAACCTAGTAGCGATGTCCTCCAACCTAATAGCAAT